AAAAATCCCCCGGGAATTTTTTATCCATCGCAGAGAACCTTCCTCCCAACCTCCTGGCCAATCTAATTCCTTAAACATCCCAAAACAAAACTTCCAAACAATACGGCGAGCGGTCCTTTTTTGTTTTGTTGTCCCCAGGTGTTGAACGAACTCCCATATAAAGTAAGATGCGCCCCAATACTTTACATTTTCAGAAAACAACTGAAGCATTTCTTATTCACAAATGCATACCTGCCTTTATGATGAACAGTTATATATGCATGTGTATGTCAGACTGTGAGACTGAAGAAATAGCGTGTGAGAGAGAGAGAGAGGGAGAGAGAGAGAGAGAGAGAGAGAGAGAGAGAGAGAGAGAGAGAGAGAGAGAGAGAGAGAGAGAAGAGAGAGAGAGAGAGAGAGAGAGAGAGAGAGAGAAAGAGAGAGAGAGAAAGAGAGAGCGGAATTGTTTTTCTATTTATAAAGAACGAATTTCAATGTCTTAATGAATGTTTCTAGTTTTTCAGCTGTCATTTTCATTGTAACCGTTCGTGAATTTTTATTGCATTCTATATTTTTTAGTGAACTCATTGCCAATTCACTACGAGACTGTTTTTCTCATAGAGATTTTTAGACATATACATAAAATATTATACCTTATGCATAATACTGTGTTTTATGTACACACTTGTCGATTACTTTTTAAGATGTTATGTCTTTTTATGTAATGCACATTTAGCGTTTTATAGAAAATGGAAATGCGTAGTATAAAAGCTATTTAGTATTATGATTAATATCTCAGCCCCCCCCTCCTCTCTCTCTCTCTCTCTCTCTCTCTCTCTCTCTCTCTCTCTCTCTCTCTCTCTCTCTCCTTCTCCTCAAACCCTCTCTTTATTTCTCGTTTTCCAGTCTCTTTTACCTCAGGGGTGCTTTTGGTGTGTGTGTGTGTGTGTGTGTGTGTGTGTGTGTGTGTGTGTGTGTGTGTGTGTGTGTATGTGTGTGTGTGTGTGTGTGTGTGTGTGTGTGTGTGTGTATCTATCTATCTATCTATCTATCTATCTATCTATCTATCTATCTATCTATCTGTCTGTCTGTCTGTCTGTCTGTCTGTCTGTCTGTCTGTCTGTTTGTCTGTCTCTCTGTCTGTCTGTCTGTCTGTCTGTCTGTCTGTGTTCATGCTTGTCTGTCTGTCTGCCTTTATGTTTCTCTGTCTGGCTGCCTGTCTGTCAGTCTGTCTGTCTGTCTGTCTGTCTGTCTGTCTGTCTGTCTGTCTGTCTGTCTGTCTTGTCTGTTGTTGGTTTGTCTTTCTATCGACCACGAGACCAGAACCTCCGGGCACCACTAAGGGATAATATAAACAGTTTGTCACAGAAACTTTCAACAGAATGCTAAAGATATTTCTAGAAGTTCATTTACCGGCCAAACTTTCCATAAGTGACCTGTCCAATGGCGGGGTAAGGATACCGGATGTGACCTTTGTATTCGTCATAACGGTCCTGCACTGTGAGCCAACACTTGGCCAGTATGTCGCCCGTGTAGGCCGAGACGAGAGCGCAGACTACCATGATGAGGAATCCAACATATCCTGCTCGATGAAAAAGAGACATTTTTTGTGTGAGGGGGGTAAGTGTTTTACGGCGCTCACAACTGCAAAAGGTCATATGATCGCGCAGGACATATCAACCATTTTCAGTTGGTAGGACATTTTGAACTTTGCCCAGGTAGTACGAAAGCCTACTCTTATCGATTTTAGGCCACCAATGGATCTTTAACATGCGCAACTTGCACACGGGACCTTATGATAATATGTATATTGAAAGAATAATATAATATATATACATATACAGCCAAACCTGCCCTGACGGCCACCTTTATAAGACGGCCACCTGCACAAACGGTCACTTTCCATTTCCCCCCTTGCGTTTTTTCTATATAATTTAACTGTGTAAAACGGGCACCTGTCCAACGCGGCCGCGGCCACCATATTTTAACACACAACCCCTATCACACTAAGCAATAATACCTGTCTTAGACGGCCACCTTTGTGACTCCATTACGTTTTGTCATAAATTGTGCACTGGCCCCTGGCGTTGTGGGCGAGCCGTCATAATTCAATCACTTGTCGTTGTTGTTAGGTAGTCCCTCCAACCGATCATGTTGCGTAGGCCCCTCCCACTGTTGACCTATAGCTACTAATTTTCAGCTGTTGGTGAGGTAAGCGTGTGATCCCTCATAACCCATAAGCCTCGCCCAGAACTCTTACACTAATCGTAAGTGAGATGAGGGGTCACTGTTTACCCAGTCTGTAACAAAGTAA